AGGAAGCAAACATGAAAGTTAGTGTTTATGTGATTTCTATTAGTATAGCATTTATATATCATGTGATGTTTTGGTAAAAACTTCATTTTGTAGCGGTGGATAAACTTTTATCCTTGGCTTTGTGGATTTTGTAGATTTAGTGTGTGCAACTATTGCTTTGAGTGCATGCAAGGTGATTTTTTTTTTCTCAATGATAATAATCCACAATTCAACTTCTTTATAATACCATGAAATATTTCTTTATAAGTCACTAACGGAAGGTGGACAATGGATTATTATCGAAAATACAACTTGCAATGCACTCAAAGCAGTAGCTGCACAAGCTGGATCTACAAAATCGTTAAAGTCAAGGATAAGAGTATCTCCACCACGTTGCAAAATGAAACTTTTATCAAAACATCACCTGTTAGATTAATACTATACTAATATAAACATCAATTTACATGTTTTGATTTCTTTCTAACAAGTCTGATTTCTATGTAGCCCACAAAAGGATAAAAACTATCTTGTAATTGCGGTTAGGGAACAAGCAATAGATTTATTCAAAAATTAATAATGATTCAGTAATAACATCTCAAAGGATGTGAGTTCCTTCTCCTCTAGAGTTGTGCGAAGGAAGTCCCTCTATGTGGAGGGTTTTAGTATCACCAAGAGGGAGAGGTAGTGTTTCACAAGGCATCCACATAAATATCATAGCTCTTCAATTTGGTGCTATCTCTCGACTACGAGCTGATGGAAGTGGATCACGAATAGGAACGACACGTATACCACCTGCTATAGCTAATCCAACTCCCTTGTAGTTATTAGCTTCTTCATCTGGAAGAGAAGAAAGTTTCTATAAGAGGAAGAGAAAGAATAGTAAAAACAAAATCCAAGTTTGCATGAGTAATATAAAAGTAGTGTCAGCTTTATCTTCATGTTTACCAAACTCACTTCAATGATTATCAAATTTCTACTTATTATGTGACCAGCCTTACAAGTAATTGTTATAAATAGGAGAATCAGATAGTAAAGGTTGCATTCTGACCCTGAAGACATAGTCATCTCTTTCATATTTGAATCAAAATCAATATCTAAATAAATAGAAAAATTTGGCTTCAAGTCTAATAAAGAAACGTCAGAGCCCACATCAGAAAGCAAATCATTTTTGGATATGAAATAACTATTGGAGAAAAAATTAGTTAAAAGGAGAATAGCAAAAAGTTGGCATACTCACCAGGAAAAGAAGACCGCGAATTTTCAACCAGAAGAAACCATAATGCAGATGAAGATAAATGCAAGAACTACCAAAACACTCTCCTCTGAAGGAAAAAGAACATCAAAGTTGACCTGCGAAATATTTGTTTGTAATGCACTAATGCAACATGCTTGACATAAGCATTTAGGGACTGTTTGGTTATTGGTTAGAGTTGTGCATATATTATCTATACAGAGTTTAGTTATGCAAGTATTAGTTATGCAGGTATTAGTTATGTAGAATTTAGTTATGTGATATTATTTATGCAGGATTTAGTTATGCAAGTTTAGTTATGTTGTTTAGTTATGCGGGTATTAGATATGTGGATATTAGTTATGTAGATATTATTTAGTTACGTCGAGATTACAATACATGAGTTATTAACTATTGAATATTAAACTTGTTGTAAATTATTATAATATATTATTTACAAAATAATATACATGCTAATAAAATGTGAAATATATTGACTAATATATAATGCTAATATTTGATTAGCATATGTACCATTAAAAAATATACAATCAATTTCTAATATTAAAATATATTTATATTTCCATAAATCAATCAAAAAAGTAAGTATAAAAAGAAATGAAAATAATCTATATATAATAAGAAATAAAAACAACACATGTTGATAGGAAACAATATAGTTTTCAATTAAAAAATAAAATAAAATAAGAAATAAAAATTGTCTAAATATATATTTTAAAAAAACCTATATATAGAAAAACAATAAAGTTTTCAATTAAAAACAATAAAATAAATTAACAGGGTAAATATGTAATTTATCACTTTAAAACATGTATAATTAATATCCACATAACTTGTTCCACCTTCTACCTTGCATAACTTTATACATAGATTCCCTCATAAGTTATGTTGGTATTTATTATGTCAAACGACAAAAATGCAACCAGCATAAGTCATGTTGACTTTTCAACCTAATTTTTTTTACCAAACATAGTAAAACTAATGCAATGTTTTATATATGAATAACATTCCTTCTTATACCGTAACCAAACAGCCCCTTGATGTTTCATGCCACCTTTGGCATGAAATTATATTACTGATGTTCAACTTGTATTACTAAGATATTCAGAACTAATTTCAAAACTAGAAACATAAAACAAGTAAAGAAATACAATCTGAAATAAATTAGAAATAATAAACCAAATGTTTCCTCAAAGAAGAAATTCGAGTTTAATGGATTATATCCTCTCAAGATAGAACATTCTTACTCACTTATGTATGGGTACCTAAAATATGTTGTCAATAAATCGCTCAACACTAGTAAAGTACACTTAGAATACTAGATTTAATAGTAAAAGAAATTTGTTATTGTTATTGAAAAATAAAAGGAAACCCCTCTATTTATAAACAACAGAGGGTAGTGTGAACTAATGCTTATTGTGTCTTATCGAAAATGTCACAACTCTTTGGAAAAGTTACAACCCTTCATAAAAGTGACAGCCTTACAGAAAAGTCGCAACTCTTCATAAAAGTCGCAAATTTTCATGCGAATCGCAACTCTTCTGAAAAGTCAAAACTATTTATAAAAGTCAGGACTCTTGATTTTTAATTCACACCCTTTAAAACTCAACACTTACTCATGGCATTAAATAAATCGTGGCCTTGAAGGGTTCTTTTTTAATAGATCCTACAACATGCAAATCCTGATTCTGATGAGTTTAGAAAGCAGGGTATAAAAGAAATCTCCTTTCAGCAATGCCAGTATGTAGAAGCACAAACAATCTCAATCCCACGTACTTATATTTAGCTTTCGAAACCATTTCTATAAAAATCCAATTCCTAGGAGAAAACAAGTTACCTAATATTAGCAACGCACATTAACATTTGAGACTGTCAAAAATTACACAACACATTTCCACCCTTTAATGTTATGTTTTTAATTTACTTCACCCCTAATTTTAGTGGATAACAATCAGCTTAGTTATATATATGTTAAGAATGATGGTTAGAAGTTAGAACGGTGTACATTCTAGTATTCATCTCAAAATTTATTTCATAATTCTCCTTCGAAAACTGCTGCAATTGAGTATGAGAGTCTTATTTGTCTGTCAATTCCAGATTAACTGTTTATAAACGAAAACCAACACTTGTTACATTCTGCTTCCATCTTACATTTTATTCTACAAAGAAATTAATATTTATGCCTAACCCGACCCAAAAGTTATCAATTGTTGAAGACTATATTATAGACAACTTTTTAAAAACAAATTTGGGGAACTCTAAATCCACTCAACCACACCCCAAAAGTTCGCTATTAATTTGGGAGAGTCTCCGAACTAGGTAGCTTTCATCGTACAACAAGTAGATAGTTTTTTCCTAGATAACTCTTTTCGAGTTCGGTGCCCACACGCCTCCATGACACAATGAACACGAAGGGTCTTGGATTAATCTGATACTATATCATTGATACAATCTAAGAGAAAATTGAATTAACATTGAGTAAAAAAGACCATAAAATGCTTCTGACACAAATGAGATATTTATCTACTTAAAAAAATATTATTTTTTTAATAAAAACACTATCATATATAGTGAGGACATGTATATCAATTATCATGGATGCTTTGACTGAATTTAAGAATATACATGACAAGATTAAGGACTTGAATAAACTTGGTGTGTTCATGGTTACCATTGAATTGAAAGGGCCGATTAAAATCTTTCATATTTACATTCGTAGTTTTTTCAATTGTAGTCATGTTGAATCTCCTTAAAGCTGTTAGTAAAAAGTTACAAAATAACAGAATTACAAGATTACAACTAAAAGTGAAATGAAGAAATAAAAATTTTTCTAAGTTGAGGCGCTGATATCTCGCTTTCTTTAAGGAAATTCAAGCTCACTACAGCAAATGTTTTTCACTAGTTCAGCAGTAGTCCTTGACTAGTTACATATGTTATAAAGAATAATGGAGGAATAAAGAATGAAATGATCGAGAATTAATGGTCATAGTTGACCACTACTCATTCTGCCAAGAAACCCAACGGTCAACAATTACACATCGACTAGACGTTTACAAATGATAATAAAGATGACATCAAATGTCATCAACTGCCAAACGGCAATAATACACCTAGTAATGAGTTATTAGGCAAACTTTACACAAAAAACTTGCAAATGGCATTTAGTAGTATAATAATATTAAAAGATACAATAATATATGATATTAAATAAAATGCCACAACAATATATCAATTGATCCTGTTAACCTCCATAAGCCAGAAGTGCTATGCTTTCTTAAATTAAGGAAAAGAACAATTGCCTCTATTCATATTCCCATAAACTGGTGCGATTTGGACAGATTATCTTAGAGTATCCTATTAATGGAAAATGAGAACACAAGTTCTAATATTGAATTTCTATATAGTGAATGAAACACATGCAAATGATATCTTCTAATTCGAACACCAGTCGATTTGATTCAGAGTTATACTGTTTCCTTAGCGATCTCCAAAAAGAACTTTCCTTCAGTACCTGATTTGTGTATAAAGTTAGACGTCGTCAAGACTAACTTCAAACACTGAATGTCTGCAGTTGTCTGAAAGAACACATGAAAAAACGCGGACACAAACTAAACGATGACACCAAAACTGAGTATCAATGCAATTTCGTCCTAGCCAATTCTAACATATACAATTATGTTTACTTAAACAGCAAGGTATATAGCTCATTCAAATAATGAACAAACTTGGAGTATGGTCGAATCAGATACTACTCTTTTACTTATGTCTGTTTTGTGTTATACCGCTGACCGGAAGTGAAGGAGCATATAGGAAAAACAAAATTGCAACTGATATAGGGTTCTACTTTTACTGTCTTAATTATATTATTCTCTTGCTCCACTAGAGAGCTAAACAAGCACATTCCACCGAGTACTTGTTATACCTCCCATCAACATAGGGTAACTTTACGATCAACTTCTAGGCAGATCAGAAGAAATCATCTAGCGCGTTTTCTTCCACCTGAGATTTCGCTGTAATGATCAAGAAAAAGCTTCATGAAAACCATTGTCCAGAAGTATGACATTATCGTTAAGAATATCATTAGAAGGATTAAAAGAATCATATATGCCATTAGAAATAGAGTAAGGTATGAACTGTCATAAGATTTGCTAATAATAGAAAATTGAGCAGCGAACCAGGATTCCAGAAATACGAAGGACAACATATAGACGTCATCATTAGAAAATATGGTTGGACTTCTTTGCATCAACTGTGTCTTTTATCTCTTTACGTGTTATATAATATGTTGTTTTATCTAATCATCTAAACTGTAGGGTAGTCGACTTTGAAGAAATCAACAGTCGACCAATAACTTGACTAAAATTCAAAAAGAATTTTGATGCACCTCCCCACCCCACCCTTTTTATGTTTCACATACTAATGTGGAGACGCAAATCATGGATGTGACATTCAATTCTATGCCGTAGGGGCTAGGAAGAACTCTTTATGCCAGGATATGTTATCACTGCAATTGACTAAAGCAGCACCCTACAAGAGATCCTTGAGTGATTACACCAAAGTTCCAAACTGTTAATAAGGAAGCTATTCATTTCCTTCATTTGCTAAGGACCAAGGAGCAGTTGGATAGCATTTAATTGTTGCACTGGTTGTACAACAAATAATTCCTCTTTCGTACTCTTTCCAAGGCTCTCCAGTTTTATTTTATTGTACAACACTCGAGCTGATTATTTTCTGGTCATATTGCAGTTAAGTTGCAGCAAGTGTTTTTTGGTACTTGTGGACAACAGGAAGCACTGAAACAGACGAAACTTACAATTGCACATAATGAAATATCTTTCTCAGATACAAATATATACAGGTCAAAGTGACATATCAACACAAATAAGACAATGAGAAGGCAGAGAAGTTACCACTGCTATCCACACACGAATGCATCTTGAATGCGGACTCCTTTTGTAAGCTGATATGATTATCAAATTGGTCATTCTGATAACTGTACACCTCAAATAGAAAAAATATAGCATCATAAGGAAATTTAGTACAATTCATCAATTAGCTATACCTTTGCCTTAATTGATTCAATACGATGCAACAACTCTTTTCCACTCCTTTTCTGTGAACCACGCAAAACACAAATGCCAACATTCAAAATCTTTTCGATGTCAGCGTAAGAAGCAATGGATGTGCAAATGTTTAAAAGCTTCAGAGCATGTGCAACCAAATCCGTCCTTGAATCACAGCATCGACATAAATACTCTGCATCCAAATTGATGCTTCCTCCGACTGTCCCAGCCATGTAAGCTCGTAGAGCACACTCTACATGGGAAACATGTCCACATATGTAGCCATTTGTTGTTGCTTCACACCGAATGCTACTGTACCCATCATAGTCCAAACTAATAGGTTTAAAGCAAAGGATACAACAACAGTCTTGGCAAAAACCAGGCTCACTGCAACATATATTACAAAGCATTGTCTCCAGAAAAGGACTTTCTGCTGTTAAACTGCTACAAATTTTGTTACCAGCCTTACAAGTAATGACTCTAATAGGAGAATCAGCCAGTAAAGGCTGCATTTTCGTCCCTGAAGATGAAGTCCTCTCTTTCATATCTGAGTCAAAATCAACATCTAAATAAAAAGAAAATAAATTTGGCATCAGGTCAATAAAAAGATGTGGTAATGCTTTCTTTTTTTGATTGATGCAAACAACCGAGTAAATCTCTACATTCTATATACCAAAGAGCCTTGTCGAAGCAAACCTTTTGAGCTTGACGACTGCCTCGAAGGAATCATCCAACTGAATGAGGCAAAGAATTGGTTTATATCCATATCAGGATACTCAGACTGGAGATACTTTTTAACTGAAATCTTACTCCGAAAAACATTTTTCTTTCCATCTTTCAGAGCCTGAAAACGCTTCGGAAGATACAGATATCTATCTTTAAAGGTGCCTAAACCTGTAGCTTTTTTCCCTGCCCGCCAGCCCCACTTATCACCCACATTTGGCCAATCTACAGGAGCATATGGTAAACCTTCGCCTGAGTCATACTCAGAAACTGGATAAACTCGAAGCCGTGTTTCATTGATTACAGATGCACTCCCATTACATTCAACAAATGCATGACTATCCTCAACCTCCTCCTTGGCTGACATTCTCTAACTCTGTTGATATCAATGGAAGTCTGAAACTACAGAAAAATAATGAAACGTCAGATGAAGAAAGTTCATAGGAGAAAGCAGCCAGCCATTTTTGGTATAAAATAACTAATGGAGAAAAAAGCAGCTAAAGAAGAACAAGACAGTTAACTTTCAACCAGAGGAAGCTATGGTTCAGATGAAGATAAAGAAGGACGTGTTGTTCCCACCCTTTAATCTATGCTCCGATCACGTCTTAATCGTGGTAATTGGGAAATTCTACAATATTCATATTACAGAGACAAGAATGATTAATATTTCTGAAGTATTGTTTTAGTCTAACAGAACTTTCTGGGTGGATTAGGATTCCTATTACTATAGTTTTATAATACTTCTGTTATTTCGAATTTATTAGGACTCTTATTATTGTAACCCTCTATTTAAGAGAATTGACATTATTATATCAAGTTTCAGTTCTCAAACAAGTTCCCAAGTTTGCAACTCAATTGCAAGTTTCAGCAATTATGAGCAAATCAAATGAACAAGAACAAGGGTTTACACCTTGCAACCTGACTTTTCAATTTACAGTTAATTAGTATTTCTTTATCCAAAAAAAAAAATCAAAAACATTTATACTCCCTTCATTTCTAAGTTTTGTCACATCATTTTAATATAATTGAAAGAAATAACTTATTGATTTATAAACTCTAAAAATCAACTGATTAATGAAGTGTTTTTTATCCTTTTAACTAACGGACCTAAAAAAAAATAAACGGAGAGTTAGGGCTATTCAGGTATTTAAAAATTACTGGAGAGAAATAGAATGTCTATACCTATTTTACAGCAGGAGAAAGCGAAAAGTGAGGTAAAAAAAATTAACACAGCAACCAACTCATAATCACCATTAAAAAATAACATCGAGAAGACATAACGAGAGATAAAAATTAAGTGACATACCAAGAATCAGGTGAGTTTTGTTGGTGTAGCTTAAATGATTTCGCGTTCGTCAGACAAATATAGAGATCTAATGCCCTTTCGGGTGGATTTTATTCAAATGTAGCTTAAATTAATGAGCTTGTTCAGAGAAAACTGTTCAGAGACAGAGACGGTATTGCAGAGCAATTAAACCAAATATTATATTTATCCCTCCGTTAAATTATTCTTTGGGTCTGTTAGTGGAATGTGGAGACGTCAAAATTATAGCTAACCCACTCCATCTGTCTAAAATTTTAAAGGTTGGATCTAAGATAATTTAAATTGAGTTTAATCTCAATGAATTTTAAGAGAATTTTCAATTTTAATCACGAATGTATGAATTACTATCTATTGAGATTATTTATTCATTTATAAATTTTTTTAAAAGAAAAATGATGTACGTCAGACACGACTCATTTTTTAGTTTTTTTGAGTCCAAAATAAACTTGAGTGGATAGGACTCAACCCAATTCTATTTCAACTCATTTTAATATCTTTAATTTCAACTTAACCCGCTAATTTAACATCCCTAATTGAAAGATAAAACCATCACATGATATAATTGAAGTCAATAATGTTAAATTAGATAACATAAGGATTAAAATTAGAATATATCATTAATACAAGGACTAAAAATGTCCCTTAATTGAACACGAAATAATAATATATCATACTATGTTAACTAAATACTAAATAACATACCATATTATACTACTAAATATTATACCACTAAATATTAAATAGTAATTATATCATATTACAAAGAAAAAACGCTAATAATACTTATGAATTATCATTTTGCCTTTATAATTAATTAAATATTTAATTTAATTTAATTAATTAATATTATTTTCCCATTTAGTTAAAAAAAATCTGTTAAATTTTGTTTTTCAGTTACATGTATTGGACATGATTTGAAAATGGAGAAGTTATACTTTACTGCTCACACACGTGGCTACAAAATTAATTGCTATAAATTCGTAGATTATGTTTTACTATATATAATTTCTACGATTCCTATTATTTACTTTTGGTTTTTTTAAAACTAATTGCCTTTTCAAATTCTCAAACATTTAAGTCGGTCACCTATTTGTTAATACAAAGAGAAGTAGAATTTAAATAGTTCATTAAGTAATTTATACATTCGAATTTTTAATTTTAATAGATAGTAATTTATACATTCGAGATTAAAATTGAAAATTAAAAAAACAACATCAAGAAACATTGTTAAAAGGAATTTTAAGATATGTATAAATTCTCTTAAAATTAATTAAAATTCAAAATTAAGAGAATTTTCAATTTATTAAAGAATTTTCAATTTTAATCTCGAATTTATAAATACATATGTTAAAAGGAATTTCAAAGAACAACATCAAGAAACATTGTATAAAGACAAAAAGTGATTTCCATTTCCCTCAACTTTTATATTTTGGTTGAGTGGCTTTCCTTTTTGTTCTTTTTCTTCAAGAAAAAAAAGGGAGATGAGAAACATATATTGTTGATAAATATCGAAATTGAATAATTGTCATATTTAATTCACCTTCAACCTTTACGTAATGATATATGAAGGTTGTGTTGTTCATCTAATATTCATAAGATATTTAGAACAAAATTTTGAAGAATTTGGTAAGAAATAACAAAGTTTAAAGAGTATTTTTACAACTAAAAAATTAAAATTAGTAGAGAAAATAGAATCAGAAACAGATCAAAAACAATATTTAAGAAATATTTTACGTAAAGAAGAAAACCGAGTTCACTGAATATACAATATCCCCTTAAAAAAATTATTTCCCTCAAATACCTGAGGGTAATGGAATATATCCTTCCAGGATAAAAGATCTTACTCACCGGTGTATTGGAACCTAAAATTACGGTGTCAGCAAACCACTCAACGACAGTAAAGTATACTTAGAATATTATATTTAAAAGTAGAAAAACAAGTCCAGAAAGTGGTTCTTTTAAAATGAGAGGAAATTCCTCAATTTACATAAAACAAAAGGTAGTGCGAATAAGTTTTTATTGTGCCCTACCGGAAAAGTCACAAATCTTTGAAAAAGTCACAATCTTTCAGAAAGATCACAACCTTTAACAAAAAAAGTCGCAACTTTTCATAAAAGCTACAACATTTCATAAAAGTCGCAACTCTTTATAAAAGTTGCAACTCTTAATAAAAATCGCAACTCTTATTTTTCTATTCACACCTTTTAAAAACCAATATGTAACTATCACTATTCCGTAGTAGTAACACAGGTTCAAAAGCTATGAAAAAGAGATAGGTATAGGGTGTGTTTGATATGAAAGAAAACATTTTCTGGAAAATGTTTATTCAGTTTTCTCATGTTTGGCTTGGACAAAAGTTTTGGAAAATATTTTTCAAATTAACTCACTTTCCTCAAAATTAAGGAAAATGTCTCCCCGGAGGAAAACATTTTCCAAAACTCTTATCCAACTTCAAATTACATTTTTTTGAAAAAAATATCAATTTCTAAAAAAAAAGTTTATTTTTGAAAAATATTTTGAACTTCAAATTTTAATTTCCCCCCCCCCCCTCCAAAAAAAAATAATAAATAAAATTCAGAGATATATTTTACTCATTTTATCAAAATAAGAAAGTAATGAATGTTTTTAAGGGTGTCAATAATTCATAAATAAAATTAATAATTTACATTAAAGATAATAAAAACTATTTTTTTTAGTTTATTATATATATATATATATATATATATATATATATGAGTTTTATAACTAAACTATTTTTATTAGTTTGAAAAACACACCTCATGTAATACACTCTCTCCTTTATTTGAAAATTCTTTATACACAACATTTCACATGGATAAATGTTCACCTTGGCAAAAATTAAATAATAAATTATTTATCTTAATTAAAAATTAAGTACTATTGTTCCTAAAAAAATAATTTTTTAAAACTAAATTTTATTTTTCTCACCCACTCTACCGACGTCCCTTGTATCCCCTCCAACCAAAAGACAATCTCTCCGTTCTTTTAATTTTTTTAAAAATTCTTTTTATAAAATATTTAAAAATCATACTCACCCACCCCATACCACCCACTATTTTTTAAAAAAAATGATATTTTTTTTCTTAAAGAAAAAGTTATTATTTCTACCCTATCTAACCCTCCTCTCCAATTTTATTTATTTATTAACATTTTTTTCGTTTGTTTTAGATATGTACACATAATTTAGGAAAATGTTTTTTTAATATTTTGTGTACCAATTATAACATAAATAAAAAAAATTATTTCAAAAAAATTCTTGCAATAAGTAAAAAATATTTTCCTAAAAATATGTGTATATATTTAGCACAAAATGAAAAAGAAAGAAAAACGAAAAGCTAGGTGGGGTGGAAATATTTTTTTAAAAATATATTATTGTATCTAAATAATTATTTGAGGGAGAGGGGGGCGAGGGGATGGAGTAAAAAAAATATTATTTTTTTAAAAAAAAAGATAAAATGGGAGAGGAAGTGGGTGATAGAGTGGGATAAGAAAAATATTCTGTGTATTATAAATCCATTGAATTGTGTGGATTGTCCTTTAGATATACTCAAGACTTAATTGTATTCATGTATACATGTTTCCAAGGTGATAAGAACCATTTGGATAACTATGTACCTACTAATGGAGCATTTATCATGGAGGCCTTTAAGATGATATCTCAACTCTATAAATAGAGATATCATTCACCTTTTGTATAATACACTTGAATACGAAGAAAGTCTTATCTTCCATCTTACTTCTCTTGTCTTCATCTCTTTATATTTATATCGTCATGGGCTTGATTTTATAACACGTTATTAACACGAGTCTCTAGCCAATTAAGATTGAGTTTTAGTTTTTCTTTAACTCATGTTTTGGTTGATCTCGGTTTATGAGAATCAAGGTATTATATGCATAAAATCAGGTATGTATTTTCTAGAATATTTTATGATTTAGAATAAAAATAATATTCAGTCACTAACAATTATCAAGAACCGAAGACATATACTACTATTGGTTGAATATAACATGCTATACAAAACTTCTTAAATAGAAGAAGGTATAAAATTTTAATAGCATGAGTTTGAATGTTATTTTGATTGTTTTGAAAGACTCAAAGGGTGAGTCATGTTGTACTTCGGTCTATTATACCGTTGGTTAAGGGTAAGACGATGGATTCAAGTTTCATCGCACCAAAAGGGTAAGCCATCTGATTAAAGTCCGGATGCACCATAATGAAAAATATTTGAGGATAAGACGATAGATTCAAGTTCTATCGCACCAAAAGGGTAAGACATCAATTTGAGTTTTGATGCACCGTGATTGGGTTCAAGTCCCATAGAATTATGGCGTAAAACGCCTTATATGGATAAGACATTGAGTTTGAGTCAATGCACCATAGTGATGATATAATGATGACTAAGGCTTTGATGAAAAGTCTTGAAATTCGTCCTATTGAATTTGCTTCATTCCTTGAAAAGAATGTGGTAGCAACATATGATAATTTTGAAATCGCATGTTCACTTGCTCTATTCTATCTTATGAATGTGGTAGCAGTAAATAGTTAGTCTGAAAGATGACAAATATTTAACGATATTAAAAGGGGCATGAAATGACGGAATTATAATAGTCATCATTGTGATAATTATAAAAGGAAGAACACTACGGGGTCTCCAAATAGTCCTTCAAAATGTGAAGGCAATTTTTATTATAAAATGGTATGAAAGGTCATTGAACTTGTGAATGTTGTCGACCCAATTTGACAACTTTATAAATCCCCCATCAATAGACAAGAAGATAAAGTGATGATACACTTGATCTTTCAAAGTGATGTTGAGGTATGTCATGGAAATATGATGAATTTTAAAAATCATGACAATGTACTTATAATGCAAATTTATGAAGTACATTTAAATGATTAGTCCATTCCTTGAAGAGAATGTGACGTGTAATGAGTATCGTGAATGTTCGACCATTCTATAAGAGAATGAGTCAAGATGTGAAAAAAATTATTATGGGTTGAATATATGTCACTACCTCTATGAGAGGTTTGAGAAAAAAAATGATATATACACCAAAATTCACCTCTACATAAGGTTTGAGAGGAAATTTTATTTGCCAGAAATAGTTAATGGTATTGTATGTTTATACGTCACTATGGTATGTTTATTGTAAACTACAGAAAGGGCAAAAGAAAGAAATAGTTCTTGCCTATAAGGGTTGTAGTCATTATTGTGTGGCAATACAAATTTGTCATTGGTTGTGTACCTATGGTACAACAAAAGTAAAGCAAAAAACATGTCTTGCTCATAATGATTTTGACCATGACCATGACAATATAATTTCCTCCTTGAAGGAGATGCTCACCATAGGAATGATGTCATGGAATATGTGATAGTACACAAAATTAAATTGCAAGCTCTAACGAGTTGTGCTATTATCAATGGAATAATATTGGGTTGTAGTAAGTCTCAAAAGAAAATTTTTAAGTTTCGGATGAATTGAAAAGAAATATTGAGACTATAAATTATGAAAAGATTTAATATCTTTAAATTACTACAATTGAAGAGGGTTATAAATATTACCCATTTTTTCCTCGTGTTTGTTGCACACAAACATGTGCATGCTGATGGAATCACATGC